TAAAATGCTATGTTCATATACACACTGTTGTATGCAACACAATAAGTGCACAAACATTATCATCAATATTTTTTTTTTTATTAAACACACCGGCCGATTCCCACCAAGGCAGGTGGCCCGAAAAAGAAAACTTTCACCATCATTCACTCCATCACTGTCTTGCCAGAAGGGTGCTTTACACTTCAGTTTTTAAACTGCAACATTAACACCCCTCCTATATTGTTTACAAACTTGTTTACACAATACAAAAAAAATTTCTTATTTCTATTATTTTTTATTATTATCACACTGGCGATTTCCACCAAGGCGGGTGGCCCGAAAAAAAAAAAATTTCACCATCATTCACTCCATCACTGTCTTGCCAGAGTGCAGGCACTGTAAATTCCCATCTCCAGGACTCAAGTCCGGCCTGCTGGTTTCCCTGAACCCTTCATAAATGTTACTTTGCTCACCCCTCCAACAGCACGTCAAAGTATTAAAAACCATTTGTCTCCATTCACTCCTATTTAAACACGCTCACGCATGCCCGCTGGAAGTCAAGCCCCTAGCACACAAAACCTCCTTTAACCCCCTCCCTCCAACCCTTTCCTAGGCCGACCCCTACCCGCCTTCCTTCCACTACAGACTGATACACTCTTGAAGTCACTCTGTTTCACTCCATTCTCTCTACATGTCCGAACCACTATTGTTCTATAATATACTGTATATACGAATGTACAGTCACTGGACACTTCCTAGAACTGCTGCGCTTATGGAGCCCCTTTGAAACATTGGTGGATGCAGAGTGGTACTTCACACTCCTACACAAAAAAACGAGTGTTTCTGCATTTTTTGGGCGCTTTTTTGGGATGTGCACAGACAAAACACCTCTTCTGAGCACTTTTCTTGAAAGTAGTAGGAGGCAGTTGTATGGGGTTGTGATCACCAAAGGGCCCCAGACGAGAGGGTAGGGGTTGATAATTTCGTGGGTTGTTGGTCTATTGCAGGTGCTGTTCCTTGGTACTTGAATATTATTTGTCTGATGGCTCACAAGCAAAGTTTACAATATGGTGGTTTCTTGTTGGTCTTCAACTTGTACATGTTATAAGCATTCAGCGTGGGGGAAAAGACAAAAAGATGGAAAATAAGTTTTATGTACCACTTATAACTCTTGCAAACACAATCAGCAAACCCAATCTGCATATCACATTTGTCCACTAAGCGCATTTGAGGTCGTAGTCCATCACAGCTGAGGTTTTAGAATGGGTTCATTGGTCTCCCTATTTTGCCTACCACGTCTGCCATTTCGTTTTTGGTGAACTGATGTCAACAATCTGACATCACGTTTGTCATGCCACCGAAATGCCATGAAGTCATTGGCAGCAAACACCTTTCACCTCACCTCTACGAGTGCCTGAGTTGGACCTGGGCATATGCTTACAATTTCCATGCACTGTGCCACACACATCAGTCATGTTCACTTTTCAAGAAATCACTGAGTAAGGGGCTTGTGTACCAGTTATTAGTATGTATATAATATATATGCCCCTTATCAAGATATGGTTCCATCATTGTTTTTAACCACATCACCAGAATTTACCCAATAACTTCCTGGTATCTCTCAATGTATTACAGCCCGTGTTCACAATTAATTTTATCCAAAACAGACCACTTTTGCAATCACACAGTACAAATAACTTTATACCAAGCATTTTTTCTTGCTTGGTATTACTGCCTGAAAGACAGTTTGCCTTTTAACAAAATCAAAGATTTATCAATAACAAACTTCCCGAAGGAATAAAAAGTCATACAGCACTTTTGTTTTTGGTACATAAACACATTCCTGGGTCTTATATAACCTGTCGTTTCTGTGAGACGTTGTTTTGTCTGAGAAGTGTAGCTACATAACAGTAGCAGAAAACTATTCACGGTATAACATCACTAAAACCTGGGGTTGAATCGGGGTTCCCTTGACAGTTGATGTGACAGCGGGGCTTATACAATGGGCATAAGCATTATTTTGGGAAAAGAACGATACACCTGCCACGTTGTGCCCCCTTTCCCCGTGTAGCCGTGATTTGGTGAAACAATTATGTTTGCCGTGGTGTATTCAAAGTACATGTTACTTTGCCTGACAATGTCCATCAGGGGTTCATCAAAGAATAACTGAAAGCATTCCAGTTCAGTGGCATTGTCCCCAAGTGCACACGATGGCCGTATTCTACTTTGTGTTTCATCAAAGTCATGGGGATTGGGAACAAAACTGGCACCTTCCTGCCAATTCCAGATGAGATCTGCTGGTGGGTTACTGGATATTGACAGGTGGTTGTGGTTGTGAAGATTGTGGCTGTGCAGGTTGTAGGAGTGTGGGGCTGGTTGAGGGTGGTTGTGCCTGTGCTGAGTCAGCAGCGTGGGTAGTAGCGTGGCCCACTCCTGGTGCCGCATGACTCATGCCACCACCAACACTATCACCAACACCACCTCCTGCCCCATGCACATTATCCATCCCCACTGTAACAATATCGTCATCTTCACTATCAGTCCATGGAGTAGGGTCACAGGATGTCCTCCAAGATTTACTACTTCCCCTTGGAATGGAATATGGCACACTACTAGAATGCATGCTACGTCGTACATACTGCCACTTCACTGGAAAATATTCCCCCTCACTGTCACAACTCGAACTGCTTTCAATAGCTTGGAAATCACTATCACTATCACTTTTACTGCTCACATCCGAGTCCTGTACATGGGGAAATAGTTTCCTCTTTCGCCCTGGTACAGGTGAATGTGAATGAGACGGCCCAGCACTAGAGGTAGAAGGTTGTAGATCATCTATGTTTTCATTGCTAATTACATTATCCTGGGCACTGCTTTCAGTCACACCCTCCACAAAAACCATGAAATTTGCTTTCACTGGCACTTCCATCGGTGTTAAAGCTATCACTTGGGAACAAAAGATCTCCAATTTTCCGGGGAGTAAGGTACTTCTTACCGCGAGGCATGGTGAACAAGGACTACTAAAATGACATTGCCACAATGCACCACTGAGCCCCTGATTTTTTTCATTCTGCACACACCCATCACACAGACCCATTCTCTCACATGTAGGCCTACCAGCTTTCTCCTGCTTGATTTGAAGCCACAAGAATTTACGCGTATTAATACACTGAAAACATTGGCTCCCAAGACGTATATACTATACGGCCGAAACAGTGAAAGGTTTAATTAACCCTTTCAGGATTTCGGCCGTACTAGTACGGCTTACGCCCCAGGGTTTTTGACGTACTAGTACGCCTAAATTCTAGCGCCCTCAAATCTAGTGAGAGAAAGCTGGTAGGCCTACATATGAAAGAATGGGTCTATGTGGTCAGTGTGCACAGCATAAAAAAATCCTGCAGCACACAGTGCGTAATGAAAAAAAAAACTTTGACCGTGTTTTTGGATTAAAACAGCGACTTTGCACTGTATTTCTGTATGGTATTTATGGTTGTATTTTAGTTTTCCTGGTCTCATTTTATAGAAGGGAAGACATATTACAGAAATTGAGATGATTTTGACTGGTTTTACAATGAAAAGTACCTTGAAATTGAAATCAAAGTAGCAGAAATGTTCGATTTTTACCAAAGTTCAAAAGTAAACAAATCATGCCAAGCGTCCAATACACATCAACTGGTGAGTCTAATATTCTTTCACGAGTGCGCTGATATTATTTATACCATTTCTACACTAGTGCAGTAGTCTGCATAACAGTAATCTTCTATTTTTTGTAAGAATAAAAATTCGCCAAAGAAATATAAGAGGGGCCTGGGGATGTGACTAACGAACAGAGAACTTGTTATTTTAGTGCCAGGAATGTCTTTCTTGTTTGTTCTGGACCCTATTCGGAAACTGGCATCTTTTGAAGTTTGTGTGAAATTGGCAAAATTGCTAAATTCTGACCATTTTATTGGATAGTTGAAATCGGTAAATAGGTGGTTTCTTGTACTCATTCGATAGAAAAAAATGGAGTTCTAGCAAAATAGTTATGATTTTTGTCGACTAGTACACTGGAATTGGCCGAAAATAGAGCTCAAAGTGGGCAAAATCGCTGATGCGTAAACATCGTCGAGACCGCTAACTTCGCGAGAGCATAATTCCATAAGTTTTCCATCAAATTTCATACTTTTGGTGTCATTATGATCAGGAAAAGATTCTCTATCTTTTCATAAGAAATTTTTTTTTTTTTTTTGAAATTTGGGCGACCCTGAGAACAAGTCTCGGAGAGGCGCCTGGCAACCCTGAAAGGGTTAATCTATCAACAGAGACTCTTTCTGCTACATCTTCTCATTTTCATCACTGCTTTCTCCCCCATTGGCTTGCTGCTGTGGATTTACAACCATCTGCACAATTTCTGAGTCAGTATAATGATGAAATTTGAGTCAGTATAATGATGAAATTTTAAATTATGCTTGCTAAAATTAGTGCTGGACTACTGATGGAACCAGATAACTGATTGCTGGATTAGTGATGGCTGACCTGTACATTTATAAGTTTCAGTACAGTGGACCCCCACATAACGATCACCTCCGAATGCGGCCAATTATGTAAGTGTATTTATGTAAGTGCGTTTGTGCGTGTATGTTTGGGGGTCTGAAATGGACTAATCTACTTCACAATATTCCTTATGGGAACAAATTCGGTCAGTACTGGCACCTGAACATACTTCTGGAGTGAAAAAATATCGTTAACCGGGGGTCCACTGTACTTTCAATACAAATGTTCCTCATTACACAGAAAATGGATTATGCTTTATACATTGACAAGTTTCAGTACTTTCAATTAATAAATTTAAAATAATAGGATGATATAAAAGGCAGAACTAATTTTCCCATTGAAAATGAAAGTCCCAAAATGCCTTTCACAATAAGGGACTTCCTATAAAGTAGATTGTGTGTGTAAATTGCCCAAAATGTATAATATACTGTACTGCATTTTATAAAAATATTGTTCATTTGTTTGTTTAATAAAGGTCTACTTACACCAGGTGTGTTGACAGAAAGAGTTGGTGTGGTAATTTCAACAAATCCCTCTTTGTCCTGTAAATAATCTCTCATCTTCTTTGCTACCTGTAAATTAATGACAATGGCTAAAACAACTGTGTTAAAAAAGGATTAATGTATTGACTTTTGATCATTTTAGATCTATACATTTTAATACTTTTATATTAACCCTTTCACTGTCAAGACCCCTGCACCAAACTTGCTCTCAGTGTCAAAGAATTTTCAAGAAAAAAAAAAGATAATTTCTTCTATTGAAATGATAGAGAATCCTTTCCTGCTGGTAATGACACCAAAAGTACAAAATTTGATGGAAAACTTACACTCTCGCAAAGTTAAAAGTCTCAGTGATATTTACGCAGTGGCAATTTTGCCCACTTTGAGCCCTATTTTCGGCCAATTCCACTGTTCCAGTCAACCAAACTCATAGCTACTTCACTAGAAATCCTTGTGTTTTATCGACTGAGTACATTGGACCCCCGCTTAACGATCACCTCCCAATGCGACCAATTATGTAAGTGTATTTATGTAAGTGCGTTTGTACGTGTATGTTTGGGGATCTGAAATGGACTAATCTACTTCACAATATTCCTTATGGGAATAAATTCGGTCAGTACTGGCACCTGAACATACTTCTGGAATGAAAAAATATCATTAACCGGGGGTCCACTGTACAAGAAACCACCCATTTACCAATTTCAACTACCCAACAAAGTAATCAGAAATTGGTAATTTGGCCAATTTCATGCATAATTCAAGGAAGGGCAATTTCAAAATAGGGTCAGAATTAACAGTGCAAACATTCCTAGCACTAAAATAACATTTTCTTTGTTGATTAGTCACGTCTTGAGGCCCCTCTTACATTACATTTGCTTTTCATTTTGAATTTTTATTCACACAAAAAATTGAAGATTTATGTTATGCAGACTACTGCATTATTGTAAAAATGGTATAAAATAATATCAGTGAATTTGCGAGAGCATATCAGACCCACATTTGACGTGTATTGAATGCATAAACGTGTTTTTTTTACTCTTGAACACCCACAAAAATCAAACATTTCTGCTACTTTGAGCTCAAGTTCAAGGTACTTTTGGTCTTTAAACATTCAAAAACCATCTTTTTATGTAAAATTTCTTCAAGTCTATCAAATGAGACCAGAAAAACAAGAAAACAACTGAAATACTATACGAAATACACAGCAAAGTTGCTGTTTTAAACCAAAAACACAGATGGAGTTTTTTTCTCATTATGAACACACCCGGCAGGATTTTTTTATACTGTGCACAATGACACTCAGACCGTTTCTTTCATATGTAAGCCTACCAGCTTTCTCCCGCAAGATTGGAAGCTGCTAGAATTTGGCATAGAAAATACGGGACCAACACTGGCTGGCAAGCTGTAATATTACGGGACTGACAGTGAAAGGGTTAAATCAAAACAGGGATTGCAACGATATTATCAACAAAAAACAGACTTTAAAACTTACTGCAATATTTCAACAGATTTGAAGCCTTAGTTACAAAACATAATCTTTCAATTTTTTTCTTTCTTACTACACACTGTATGCTCACATACCTGGGATTTTAATCTTAAATTATTCTGCAGTTCAGAATGACGAAGATCTAGATAGCGGTTACTTTCAGCCCGCAATGCTCATTAGGCTGAAATATAAAAAGTACAGCAACTTGTTACAAAAGTTTTTAAAGTACAGTACAACATGCATATCTGGTATAACACTAATCAATAATGTTGGTTTATCTTGTTTCTTTTATGGCAGGCAATGATAGTTCGCTATCAAACTAGGATTTTTAAAAAATCTAAATAAAAATGCTTTTTCTTACAGGATTGTACAGATTTTTAAACAGAATGTATTGTTTTTTTAACACATCGCCATCTCCCACCGAGGTAGGGTGTCCTGAAAAAAAAAAATCACTTTCACCATGACTCACTCTTTCACTGTCTTCCCAAAAGCAAGCTGATACCACAGTCCAGATGCCCCTTCAAACTGCAAATATCCCCACCCCCCTTCAAAAACCTAATGGTTATAATCATAATTTTTAAAGGAAAGGGGACCAGTAAGAAAGTGGAAGGCCTTTCTGTCTGATGACCAAAATTCCACCTGCGGGTCATCATGTGACTAAGACCTGTGCCGGGAAACACTTGCCCTGTTGCCTGATAAAATTAACTCATCAAACCCCTAACCCTGCTTCAGAGTGCAGGCACCGTACCTTTCACTCAAGGACTCAACTCCAGTTTAACTGGTTTCCCTGAACCCCTTCTTTAAATGTTACCTTGCTCGCACCCAATAGCTATAAGTTATAAAAACCACTTGCTCCTCTCACTTCTATCTAAACAGCTCACACATGCCTCCCTGGAATCTCCAAGCCCCTCACATACAAATGCCCCCTTTTACCCTCCCTCAACCTTTCCCTGGGGCGACCCCTACCTTGCCTTCCCTCCACTACAGATTTATACATCCTCCAAGTCATCCTATTTTGCCCCCTCCTCTCTAAATGTTCCAAACCACCTCACGACCCCCCCTCAATCCACTGGAAAAAATAAAAATCCACAGATTTAATGCAGCAGTTTCAATATTTTACCTTTGCTGAATAAGCCTTCATAATTTTGCTTAACAGCATAATAATGAGTTTCGGCACAATGGAGTATCAGAGACAATAGAACGTCTGATGAAATTAATTTGGCATGTTTTAGCACCAGAAAATTTTAAACCCATGAGTATTGGCCCAAAGAAAATACAGTTAAACGCATTCTGGGTGAGGCTGCGTCAGCCCCTGCACAAGCTATAGAAAAGTCATCAACATAAAGTGACTAATTATTAATGTAATGTGCTGTGAGTGTGGCCAGTTTACCATTTTTGAATTGCTGCCACTAATGCCCTGATTCAAATGTGACCCCTTGATTTTCTATTTTAAAATCAGTTCCAGAAGACTTATCACACCCCAAAACTTCAATTCAAATCCCAAAATGCATTGTTTTATAGAAATACATTCCAAGACACAAGTACAACCCAACCTGCACTTGGACAATTTTTGAATAAACACTGGGGTTTTCGAGTAGTAAACAAATATAGGGTGCAACTTGAAACCTCAGAGGCATTGACACCTAACAGTAGAGAAAACCTATCATTCATAGGCTTATGTTTCTGGCAAAGTGGCAGGATAGGGTAGAGTAGGACAGGCAGGGCTTTGGGTAGGTTTAGGCGGGCAAGGTAAGACAAGGCAAAGGGAAGGGGAGGTTTGACTAGTAGAAATGTAGACACTACCGGTCTTTTTGTAAGTGTCCCACCACTGGTGTCTGGCACATGTCCAGTCTCTCTTCCTCCACTGCCTGCCTTCCTCCCTGCCACCCTCCCTCACTCCCCTCATTACCTCACCCACCCTCACTCCACCCACTACTTCACCCTCCCCCCCTCCTTCCACCCACCCACTGCCTCACCCACCCTCACACCTACCCACCCACTGCCTCACCCCCCTTCACTCCCCCTCAAACCCCCTGCCTCACCCTCCCTCAATCCTACCCACCCACTGCCCCACCCTTTTTTACTCCTGCCACCCACTGCCTCACCCTCCCTCACTCCCACCCACCAACTGCCTCACCCTCCCCCACTCCACCCACCCACTGCCTCACCCTCCCTCACTCCACCCACCCAACTGCCTCACCCTACCTCACTCCCACCCACCACTGCATTCACCCACCCTCACTCCCCCACCCACCACTGCCTCACCCTCCCTTTACTCCCCACCCACCCACTGCCTCACCCTCCCTCACTCCACCCACCCACTGCCTCACCCTCCCTCACTCCCACCCACCCCCTGCCTCACCCACCCTCACACCTACTCACCCACTGCCCACCCTCCTTCACTCCCACCCACCCACTGCCTCACCCTCCCTCATTCCTACCACCACCCCCTGCCTCACCCTTCTTCACTCCTGCCCACCCATGCCTCACCCTCCCTCACTCCCACCCACCCAACTGCCTCACCCTCCCTCCTCCCACCCACCCACTGCCTCACCCGCCCTCACTCCCACCCACCCACTGCCTCACCCTACCTCAAATCCCACCCACCCACTGCATCACCCTCCCTCACTCCCACCCACCCGCTGCCCCCACCCTCCCTCACTCCCCCCCACCCACTGCCTCACCCTCCCTCACTCCCACCCACCCACTGCCTCACCCTCCCCCCACTCCACCCACCCACTGCCTCACCCCCCCTCACACCTACTCACCCACTGCCTCACCCTCCTTCACTCCCACCCACCACTGCCTCACCCTCCCTCACTCCTACCCACACACTGCCTCACCCTTCTTCACTCCCACCCACCCACTGCCTCACCCTCCCCCACTCCCACCCACCAACTGCCACACCCCTTTCCCCCAATCCCACCCACCCACTGCCTCACCCACCCTCACACCTACCCACCCACTGCCTCACCCTCCCTCACTCCCACCCACCCACTGCCTCACCCTCCCTCACTCCCACCCACCCACTGCCTCACCCTCTCTCACTCCACCACCCACTGCCTCACCCTCCCTCACTCCCACCCACCCACTGCCTCACCCTCCTCCATCCACCACCCACTGCCTCAACCCTCCCTCACTCCCACCCACCCACTGCCTCACTCCCACCCACCCAACTGCCTCACCCTCCCTCACTCCCACCCACCCTGCCTCACCCTCCCTCACTCCCACCCACCCACTGCCTCACCCTCCCTCATTCCCACCCACCCACTGCCCCACTTGCCCCACTCCCATCCACCCACTGCCTCACCCTCCCTCACTCCCACCACCACTGCTCCACCCTCCCTCACTCCCACCCACCACTGCCTCACCCTCCCTCACTCCCACCCACCCACTGCCTCACCCTCTCTACTCCCACCCACCCACTGCCTCACCTTCCTCACTCCCTCCCACCCACTGCTTCACCCTCCCTCACTCCCACCCACCACTGCCTCACCCTCCCTCACTCCCACCCACCCACTGCCTCACCCTCCCTCACTCCCACCACCCACTGCCTCACCCTCCCTCACTCCCACTCACCCACTGCCTCACCCTCCCTCACTCCCCACCACCCACTGCCTCACCCTCCTCATCCCACCCACCCACTGCCTCACCCTCCCCACTCCCACCCACCCACTGCCTCACCTTCCCTCACTCCCTCCCACCCACTGCCTCACCCTCCCTCACTCCCCCCACCCACACTTCAGCCTCTCGCACTCCCACCCACCACTTCACCCTCCCTCGCACTCCCCTCGAACACACCCTCCCCTATCACTCCATTTAAGACCTTTTCACTCACCAGGTGTGCCATCCATTGTGTGCATATCACATACCGTATCTTAAATTTTTCATCGCAACTCAAAGCTAAACCCCTTAATGGGGTACATCGCAACTCAGTGCTGTCGCAAAATCAGGATCAATGAACGTTGTGCTGCTTCCACAAGCAGCACAAGTAACTGAATGAACAGAGTACCGAGCACAAAATATAGATTAATAAACCTTCTTTCTTTCTTTCAACCACCGGCCGTTATCCCACCGAGGCGGGGTGGCCCAAAAGGAAAAACAAAAATTTTCCTTTTTACATTTAGTAATATATACTGGAGAAGGGGTTACTAGCCCTTTGTCCCGCATTTTAGTTGCCTCTTACAACATGCATGGTTTTGGAGGAAGAATTTCTGTTCCCCTTCCCCATGGAGATAAGAGGAAATAAACAAGAACTAGAAAGGAAAAAAAGAAGAAAACCCAGAGGGGTGTGTATATATATGCTTGTACATGTATGTTTTAGTGTGACCCAAATGTAAGTAGAAGTAGCAAGACATACCTGAATCTTGCATGTTTATGAGACAGACAAAAGACACCAGCAATCCTACCATCATGTAAAACAATTACAGGCTTTCGTTTTACACTCACCTGGCGGGGCAGTAGTACCTCCCTGGGCGGTTGCTGTCTACCAAAACCCACTACCCAGGATTATTAAACCTGTATGAATAATAAGAAGAATGTCTTGAAATAAGAAATCTTGCATCACTTGCTTTTTTTGTTATTCTTGGTTAGAACTCTATGTACAAAACTCTCCTCACTTAGTGACATACTCATTTACCCACCGTTCAGACTTATGACCCGCTCTCCAACCAGTATGAAAACCTAGGAAATGTATATTAGAGCTTTTTTCCTCTATTCTGTTTTTTAGGGTAACAGGGGAAACCCTTTGAGTCTCGCCCGCCCTGAGTATCGTATCCGATCCCTAAGCAAGGAACTTTCAAAACTGTAACATGTATGTCAGGCCCATATGGAGTATGCAGCACCAGTTTAAACCAACCGGGTCAACATTCAGAAAATAGAGAAGGTGCAAAGGTTTGCGCAAGGTAGTTCCAGAGTTAAGGGTGTCTTATAAAGAAATTTAAGGAAAATCGGCTTGACAACCGGAGGATAAAAGGGTTGGGGGAGACAGATAACGACATAAAAAATACAGAAAGGAATAGACAAGGGGGCAGAAAGGATGTTCCAGAGGGGGACACAGAAAAAGGGGGTCCCCTTTTGAAGTTGAAGACTCAGACAGTCTTCAGCTAAGAAGTCGGGAAGGGGGGAACAGTCTGGCAGTGTGTATGGGGCGGAACCATACACACTTTAAGACAGGTATTAAAGCCATGGAGAGGAGAGAGAAAACCCCCTAGTACATTCGGTAAAAGGGCAGGGCCAAAAGCGATCTCCCCCTGAAACCCACAATTAGGTGAGTAAAATTTAGATGAGTACACACACAACCACCCACACAATCTTGAGGCCCTAGTATGAGTAAAACCCCCTGCAACCACAATTAAGAAAGACACACCCCAAAATTAAATTGTAAAATTTTAAAGAATCCAGAAATATTGAAAATAAGTTTATATACCTTGTTAAAGTCCCCTAAAAAATGAAGGTCTTGGCGAGCCTTATAAGGCTTGGGAGTTTGGGTGGAGTACTTCAAACTCTCCTGTGGGCATCATCTAACAAAAAAAAGAAAATTATAAAAATAATTTAAGCATATTAAATTGGGGGGAGCAGCCATGTGATAATTTTTTCAAAAGCTACCAAAAAAGGAAAGGGAAAACAAATAACAAATAATGAAAATTAATATTCTTCAGGAGAGAAAACTCTTCTTTTTTCAACAAACCGGCCATATCCCACTGAGACAAAGTGACTCAAAAAAAAAAAAGTTTCTCTTTTTAAACTTTAGTAATGTATACAGGACAAGGGATTACTAGCCTCTTGCTCCCAGCATTTTAGTCGCCTCTTACAAACATGCATGGCTTACGGAGGAAGAATTCTTTTCCCACTTCCCCTAGGAGATAAGAGGAAATAAACAGGAACAAGAACTAGGAAGAAAATATAAGAAAACCCAGAGGGGTGTGTATATATATGCTTGTACAGTATGTGTAGTGTGACCTAAGTGTAAGTAGAAGTAGCAAGACATACCTGAAATTTTGCATGTTTATGAGACAGAAAAAAGACACCAGCAATCCTACCATCATGTAAAACAATTACAGGTTTCTGTTGTACACTCAAGGAGAGAAAGATATAAGCCTAAATTTCATCCTATTCCAGAATTAACTGTTATTTGTGAAAAATGTTTTAGAGATAACTGTTTAAAACCAAGGAAGCAAACAGCTCTATGTGTTGAGAATGAGTACGATGCATAACACAGATGCAGGCTATGTTTGAAAATAACTGTTCAATATAGATGATGGAACAGAGGGAAATTTCTGCCCAGGATGGCAAATGAATCTACAGGAGGGCCCCACTTATTATAAAGCAGGTTATGTTCTGTGCTACTGCTGTAAAAGTGAATATTGCTGTAAAATGAAACAGCCTTTTTTCATTTTCCCAAATGCATGTAAAACCCTGATATGTTACACTATCATATATTAAGAAAGCAACAGAGCTAGGCCTAAAAAATGCACATACAGTAAAATCTTTCCCTTTACCTTAAAATATTTATTGTGCTAAGTCTGAATAAATGAAGAGTGGGTTATAATTGAAAATTGCTCTATTGGCAAAAATGTCATAAAGAAAAGCACTGTAAAGCAGGCCCTGCCTGAAATTAGAAAAACTGAAGAACCTGAAAAATGTATGAACAGTGCACTCCAAGGGAAAGTGGAACAAAATTCTTCCTCTGTAAGCCATGGGGTGTTGTAAGAGGCAACTAAAATGCCTGGAGCAAGGGACTAGTAACCCCTTATCCTCTATATAGTACTAAATGTAAAAAGAGAAGCGTTGTTTTTCTTTTTACATCACCCTGTCTCGGTGGGATATGGCTGTTTGCTGAAAGAAGAAAGAAAAAGTGGTAATATTACTGCATGTGTATAGCTGTCACGTATTGTAATGAAAAACTTACTTTTTAACTGACTATCAGGTCTGTGACAAACAATCCCCATCACCTCCACATTGACTCGAACGTAGTGCTGCTGAGTAGTTTGACGAGACTGGTGTCCTAGAAGATAACATGTTTCATCAGTACTGCACACTGCATCATTTCTCATTTTGATAATGAAAGCACCCTGCAGCATAAATTTTCTTGTTTATTAAAGGTTATATGCAGTAAACAGCATCATTCTGTACAGGTTAGGGTAAATGTCAATTAAACTTTTTTTTTTTTTCAACAAACTGGCCATCTCCCACAGAGGTAGGGCGGCTCAAAAAAAAAAATATATATATATATATACCACTTTCACTGTCATTCACTATCACTGTCTGTCAGAGGGGTGGGCCCAAAATACATTTCAAAACTGCAAATATCCCCACCCCGTCCTTCAGAGTGCGGCACTAAAATTTCTCACCTCCCGGACTAAAGTCTGGCTAACAGGGTTCCTTGAATCCTTTCATAAATGTTGCCTTCCTTACCTCCAAAAGCATGTCAATTTGCCTCTATTCACTCTTATATAATAAACTCAAACAAAGCTTGTGGGATGTCCAAGCCCTTGCACACAAAACCCCCTTTACCACTTCCCTCTAACCTTTCCTAGGACAAACCCTTACCCAGTCTTCCCTTCACTCCAGATTTATTACACCCTTTAAGTCACCCTATTTTGTTCCATCTTCTCTAAATGTCCAAACCACCTTAACAAAGCTCCTCAGCCATACGGATAATACTTTTAGTAACCCCCCCACCTCCTCCTAATCTCCAAGCTATGAATTCTCTGCATAAATTTATGCCACACATTGCCCTCAGATACATCATCTCCACTGTCTCCCGCCTCCCCCCTTGCTGCAACTTCATCACCCATGCTTACACCCATATAAGAGCGTTGGTAAAACTATACTCTTTATACATTCCCCTCTTTGCCTCCAAGGACAAAGTTTTTTTGTCTCCACAGACTCACCCTTTTCCCCTCATCAGTACTATGATTCACCTCATCTTTCATAGACCCATCCGCTAACACGTCCACTCCCAAATATCTGAATACATTCACCTCCTCCATACTCTCTCCCTCCAATCTGATATCCAATCTTTAATCACCTATCTTTTGTTATCCTCATAACCTTACTCTTTCCTGTATTCACTTTTAATTTTCTTCTTTTGCATACCTTACCAAATTCATCCACCAACCTCTGCAACTTCTCTTCAGAATCTCCCAAGAGCACAGTGTCATCAGCAAAGAGCACTGTGACAACCCCCACTTTATGTATGATTCTTTATCTTTTAACTCCACGCCTCTTGCCAAGACCCTCGCATTTACTTCTCTTACAACCCCATCTATAAATATATTAAACAATCACAGTGACATCACACATCCTTGTCTAAGGCCTACTTTTACTGGGAAATAATCTCCCTCTTTCCTACATACTCTAACTTGAGCCTCACTATCCTCGTAAAAACTCTTCACTGCTTTCAGTAACCTATCTCCTACACCATACACCTGCAACATCTGCCATATTGCCCCCCTATCCACCCTGTCATATGCCTTTTCCAAATCCATAAATGCCACAAAAACCTCTTTAGCCTTATCTAAATACTGTTCACTTATATGTTTCACTGTAAACACCTGGTCCACACACCCCTACCTTTCCTAAAGCCTCCTTGTTCATCTGCTATCCTGCTCTCTGTCTTACTCTTAATTCTTTCAATAATAACTCTACTATACACTTTACCAGGTATACTCAACAGACTTATCCCCCTATAATTTTTTCACTCTCTTTTGTCCCCTTTGCCTTTATACAGAGGAACTATGCATGCCAATCTCTAGGTACCTTACCCTCTTCCATACATTTATTAAATAATTGCACCAACCACTCCAAAACTATATCCCCACCTGCTTTTAACATTTCTATCTTTATTCCATCAATCCCAGCTGCCTTACACCCTTTCATTTTACCTACTGCCTCACGAACTTCCCCCACACTCATAACTGGCTCTTCATCACTCCTACAAGATGTTATTCCTCCTTGCCCTATACACGAAATCACGGCTTCCCTATCTTCATCAACATTTAACAATTCCTCAAAATATTCCCTCCATCTTCCCAATACCTCTAACTCTCCATTTAATAACTCTCCTCTCCTATTTTTAACTGACAAATCCATTTGTTCTCTAGGCTTCCTTAACTTGTTAATCTCACTCCAAAACTTTTTCTTATTTTCAACAAAATTTGTTGATAACATCTCACCCACTCTCTCATTTGCTCTCTTTTTACCTTGCTTCAAACTCTCTTAACCTCTCTCATTTTCTCCATATATTCTTCCCTCCTTGCATCACTTCTACTTTGTAACAACTTCTTATATGCTAACTTTTTCTCCCTTACTACTCTCTTTACATCATCATTCCACCAATCGCTCCTCTTCCCTCCCACACCCACTTTCCTGTAACCACAAACTTCTGCTGAACACTCTAACACTACATTTTTAAACCTACCCCATACCTCTTCGACCCCATTGCCTATGCTCTCATTAGCCCATCTATACTCCAATAGCTGTTTATATCTTACCCTAACTGCCTCCTCTTTTAGTTTATAAACCTTCACCTCTCTCCATAATCCTTCACCTTCCTCCATACTCCCTCAAATCTGATGTCCAGTCTTTCATTACCTAATTTTTTTTTTTGTTACCTTCATCACCTTGCTCTTTTCAATGTTCATTTTTAATGTCCTTCCTTTACATACCCTCCCGAATTCGTCCAACAACCTTAGCAACTTTTCTTCAGAATCTCCCAAAAGCACTGTGTCATCAGCAAAAAGCAACTGTGATGACTCCCACTTTGTGTTAGATTCTTTATCTTGAAATCCCACACAATTCCCTAAAACCCCTGCATTCACTTCTCTTACAACCCCATCTAAAAATATATTAAACAACCAAGGTGACATCACACATCCCTGTCTAAGGCCTACTTTTACTGGAAAATAATCTCCCTCTCTCTGACATACCTTACCCTGAACCTATCTAAAAACTCTTAATTACTTTCAATAACCTACCACCTATTCTACACACCTGCAACATCTGCCAAAAGGACAAACCTCATCATTAATAAGCACTTGTGTTTTCCCAAAAGCATCACGAAGAACAGCAAACTTTCCCATCCGCTGATACTGCAGGAAGCCACGGAGCTTAACTTTCTGTCCAACATGGTGTGCTCGAAGTTCACCACAGGTGTGGCTTTTTAAGGATGACCCAACAGTATGACACACTACAAAGGCAATAAATTTCCATTAATAATATACAGAAGTAGTCTCTGATTTTTATTTGACCATTTTTCCAAACCATATATTAAAATGAAAGCTGATTAAAACATACATAAGAAATCAGTGTTCAAACCTTAAAATCTTGACACTTTGACCTGAACCATAACTTCTAGAAAATCAATGGTAAATTAGAAGAATGATCCAATTAAAGTATGTTTTAAGGTCAAAGGTAGCACCATGATAACAAAAAGTAACAGATTAAATTAACCTAACTCCACCTAACCAAACTGCAATGAAGCCTCAAACAGAACTAGAATACACCCATAGCCACCTGCTAAAACTTTATGGTATGATATCACATGTGAGCAACTATGAACCTTCTACTGTTCTCCACCCACAGCTGGGCTAATAACACCAGCTATTAGATAAGTGTTACACTGTAAATATCTTTTGAGTAACTGATGTCTATTCAGTTTAATTTTGTTCTATAAGAATTTTTACGTATTAAATCCTACAAAAATTAAATAAATGTGTATGAGCCATGAACTTTTCTAATAAGCTAAAGGAAATTTGATAAAACTGAAAATCATTCTAAATGTGAGCCACTGTTTATGTACTCAAGAGCTGGATTAAGATTTTGTAGGCCCCTGGGCTACAGGTACTGTGAGGCACACCAATTCAAGGCTCTGCTTATAAATCACCTCATCTCCCAAAATTAACCACACAAACAGTATACAGTGGAACCCCTACTTACGAGTTTAATCTGTTCCATGACCTTGTTTGTATCCCAATTTGCTCGAACGATGAATCAATTTTCCTCATTTAAATTAACTGAAATACAATCCATTCAAGCTCTCAGGAGGCATGACAAAATACTTCAATATTTTGCTAATATCAACTCTATGGCTTATTTATCTATCACAATTCATCTAATATGACATAATAAACAATATAAATAACACAGAAACCTGATATATACAGTGGACCCTCTACTTGCGAGCGCATTCACGTGCGAGTTATTCCAAATACGAGCAGTCGATGGGTTGATTTTTTGCTTCCATATGCGAGCAAAATTTCCATAAGTGAGCAGACCTCAAGGGAGGTTCCTTGACGCTGGTGAAGGGCTCTTGCTCTTGATCCAGGGAATTGTATCTCATTTGTTTGTTGGACTATCTTACTGAAACTTGGGCAATGTATGATAGAAAGATGCTTCTTAACGTACACCAAAAATGAAAGAAATCGGAGCATAAATAATGGAGTTCATTTCTCAGCAATTAGCCACCCCTTAGCGGTATTATCGTGTGGTTTTTACGGTTGCATTCTTGTTTTTTTTGGTCTCATTTGATAGAATGGAAGATATATTACAGAAATAGATATGATTTTGATTGCTTTCACAACAAAAAGTACAGTGTACCTTGAAATTGAGCTCAACAAGAGAGAAATGCTTGTTTGCTTGACTATGTTCAAGAGTAAACAAATGATGCCACTGTCCATTCCAATATGCAGTCGTGAATGGGTTGACATTATTTATACAATTATTGCAATAAGGCATAACAGTAAAGCTTATTTTTTTGTGTGAATAAAAATTACAAATTATTTATACTGTAATAATAATAGCAATAATAATAATAATAATAATAATAATAATAATAATAATAATAATAATAATAACAATAATAATAATGTATAATAATAATACGTATAATAATAATAGTTTTTTTTATTTTTTTTTATTATCACACTGGCCGATTCCCACCAAGGCAGGGTGGCCCGAAAAAGAAAAACTTTCACCATCATTCACTCCATCACTGTCTTGCCAGAAGGGTGCTTTACACTACAGTTTTTAACCCTTTGAGGGTCGACAGGCCCTCTCCGAAACTCGTTCTCAGGGTCGGCCAAATTTCAAAAAAAAAAAAAATTTTTTTTTTCTTATGAAAAAATAGTTTTTTTTTTCTAAACATTATAGGATAAACAAAAAAAATTTACCATCAATACTTACGGAGATATGGATGCATGAAGTTTGCAGAAAATGAGCCGTGTATGGCAACAGCGGCGACTGCCGCTCACCCGGTAAACTTTAGTTTACTTGTATTTGAAGGTTTGTTGTTTTTTTTCACTATTTTATTTTTTCACATAACTTATGTGGCCTATGAGACCAAAGTAAGGTGCAATGTACATATATACACTCGTTGTATACAACACAATAAGCACACAAACATAATTATCAATATATTGTTTACAAAACTTGTTTACAAAAACAAACAATACAAAACATTGTTTATTATTATTGTTCTATAATATATATACCAATATACAGTCACTGAACATATTCCTATTAGTTCTGCAGCTTGTGGAACTCTGAAACATGGTGTCATACACAATGGTGTTTTATCTTTCTCCCTCATTCTATCTCTTTCAATCTGTCTCTCTCTTTCTATCTGTCTGTCTATCTCTGTCTCACAGGTACACATAAATACAAGTATACATAGTATAAATTACCTAGGATAACCCAAGAAACCCAGACAAAGTGCTATACTCTGCTTGAAGATGTGAGTAAAAGTGATGACACAGTCTTGTGGCTCTCTGAGACAGAGAGCTAGACGGATAGACAGGGAGCTTGACAGACAGGCAAATAGACAGACAGAAATGTTAGTATACCAGCAAAAACAAAGGGAGGGAGATGTTTATCTCATCTTTTGGCATCAGCTCTACCCTCATTTACCCTCATCAAACGTCAGCACTTATCAGATGTTATCTCCCCTTATCTTGTTACTGTCATGGGTGAACATTTATTATTACCTATTATTATTATTATGTATTATTATTATGTATTATTATTATTATGTATTATTATTATGTATTATTGTTATCATTACGTATTCTTCTTCTTCTTCCTCCTCCTCCTCTTCTTCTTCCTCCTCCTCCTCCTCCTCCTCTTCTTCCTCCTCCTCCTCCTCCTCCTCTTCTTCTTCTTCCTCCTCCTCCTCCTCCTCCTCTGCCTCCTCCTCCTCTTGCCTCCTCCTCCTCTTGCCTCCTCCTCCTCTGCCTCCTCCTCCTCTGCCTCCTCCTCCTCCTCCGCCTCCTCCTCCTCCTCCATTCTTGGAACAAGTTTGAAGAGCTTGTAGTTCATAATCACTATCACTATCATCACCAATGCTCACATCTGAGTCTGGGATTTTGGAAAATAGGAGTTTCCTCTTTGATTCTGGTACAACTGAACGACGGCCCAGCACCAGAGGTGGAAGGCTGTGGGTTGTCTGGGTTTTCCTCACTATTACCCATATTATGGTCATTAGTTTCGGTCAAAACCTCACCAGAACCTTGAAACTCATCTTCACTGTCACTTCCATCTGTATTAGAAATGTCACTGGGGAACAAAAGTGTCCCAATTCGCCGAGGAGTGAGGAACTTCTTAACACAGGGCATGGTGGAAATTGTGTACTATGATGGCATTCCCACAATGCACCACTGGGTCCCAGATTTTTTTCCTACTGCGCACACCCACCACACAGACCCATTCTCTCACATCTAGGCTTATCAGCCTTTTCCTGTGAGATTTGAGGCCGCTAGAATTTATGCGTACTAGTACGACAAAAACCCCTACGCGTAAGACGTACTAGTACGACCAAAACCCTCAAAGGGTTAAACTGCAACATTAACACCCCTCCTTCAGAGTGCAGGCACTGTACTTCCCATCTCCAGGACTCAAGTCCGGCCTGCCGGTTTCCCTGAATCCCTTCATAAATGTTACTTTGCTCACACTCCAACAGCACGTCAAGTATTAAAAACCATTTGTCTCCATTCACTCCTATCAAACACGCTCACGCATGCCTGCTGGAAGTCCAAGCCCCTCGCACACAAAACCTCCTTTACCCCCTCCCTCCAACCCTTCCTAGGCCGACCCCTACCCCGCCTTCCTTCCACTACAGACTGATACACTCTTGAAGTCATTCTGTTTCGCTCCATTCTCTCTACATGTCCGAACCACCTCATAGTATAATACAATAATAATAATAATAATAATAATAATATGTATAATAATAATACATATATATAATAATAATGTACTACATAATAATTATAATGAAAGACGGCTTCAAAAGGCCATCACAAGATGGTAGTGTTTACCACAACAAAGAGGGAGCAGTTGTGGCCGCCTCCATTTTGTCCTGTCTCTAGACAAACTCTCGTTGGCTGCCACTGCCACAGCCATATGGTTTTTATGGTTGTATTCTCGTTTTTTTGGTCTGATTTGATAGAATGGAAGATATATTACAGAAATAGATATGATTTTGATTGCTTTCACAATGAAAAGTACCTTGAAATTGAGCTCAACAAGAGAGAAATGCTCGTTTGCTTGACTAAGTTCAAGAATAAACAAATGACGTCACTGTCCATTCCAATATGCAGTCGTGAATGGGTTGACATTATTTATACAATTACGTATTGCAATAAGGCATAACAGTAAATCTTATACTTTTTGTGTGAATAAAAATTACAAATTATTTATATTGTAATAATAATAATAATAATAATAATAATAATAATAATAATAATAATAATAATAATAATATGTATAATAATAATACGTATAATAATAATAATATAATACAATAACAATAATAGTAATAATATAATACAATAACAATAATAGTAATAATATAATACGTATGATAATAATACATATACAGCAGGGCCCCGCTTTACGGCGTTTTGCTTTACGGCGTTCTGCTAATACGGACATTTCAAATTATGACCAAAACTCGCTATACGGCTCCCCCCACCTGTCTTTCTAATACGGTCACAGGGGCCCACCGAGTTTGTTTACATTCTCCCTGAGCACATCTCCTTATGTCTGGAAACTTTCCAAAATTTCAAGTGTTTTAAAGTTATTGTATATTTTATATGTATTGTACTTGATAATTAAACTTGTGTACACCTGTACCTAAATAAACTTACACACTGTGCTGGCATGTAGGTACACATTAAAATCACTAAGTCTCTC